TAATGGTTATTGTGAGTCTTATTCTCCAGTTTCTTCTCGTGTATTTCGCGGGGAAACGAAAGAAATACACAGGAAGTTGGGTACCCATTTTTTGCAATCAGTGCATGGTTAATATATCTCTCAGCGGATTGGATGGCAACCCTTGTGCTGAGTACCCTTCTTAAGGGCAACATGGAATTGAAAAATGAACTCATCGTATTCTGGACGCCCTTTCTTCTATGGCATCTCGGCAGCCCACACAATATTACAGCTTACTCCTTCGAAGACAATGAGCTATGGTTGAGACACTTTCTTGGGATGGTCTTCCTAATTGGAGAGGCAATCTACATCTACGTCAGGTTTCGATCAAACACTATACTGAATGCTATGGCTCTTCCATTATTCATGGGTGGAGTTATCAAGTATGCAGAAAGGATATGGGCTCTCAGATGTGCAAGCCAAAAAGAGCTCATAAATTCCTTTTACTCAAGCCCGACTTCTGAAAATCCAAACGAGGACAATGCTATTGTTGACCAGAAAGAATTGATCCGAACAGGCCTTTTTGATCATTCAAAGAAGAGGGATTTTATAGGAGATTCAAGCATTACAGCGGAGGTTAAATTTCTTCGGGAGGCAGATTCAGCATTTGATATTTTCAAACCTCTCTTTTCAGACCTCCCATTTCAGATTTCGCAAGAGTTCCATGATAAAATGGTCTACCTGAGCAATTATACAACTGCTGATGAGGCCTTCAATTTTGTGGGGATTGAACTTGAATTCCTTTATGATTTGCTCTACACCAAGAATCCCATACGACATAGACGATATCGTGGGAGCCTGGTTCTTCGCAGCATCTGCTTTTTCTTTGTTATTTCTGTACTATTTGCTTTCTCAGCTTTGCTTCATAAAATCAAGCGTTCAACAGTTGACACTGCCGTGACCTACTTGCTACTGTCCGGGGCTGTTTTTCTGGAGATCCATTCATTTTTTATGCAGTTTTGGTCTAAGTGGACAATGTTGAGGTGCGCAATTCCTCGAGACAAGCTGCACGAATTGTACCTTCGGCTTGTTGATCGCAGGTTACGTTCAATTAAGTCAAGGAAGGGGATTCAAAAAATGGCACAACATGATCTGATAGATTATTGTGTCAAAGCCAAGGAAAATCTGTTTACTCCAGTCATAAAGCTTATTGACACTGGCAACCTTTTGCAGAAGTTTGGGCATACCGAATGGAAGCCAGTAGATTCTGACTTGAAGAAATTCATTTATTGTCACCTAAAAGAAAAGCGTTCAAGGTACGACACGGAACATTTTAAACACGAGTATCTGGACAAGTTGTTAGGAGACAAAGGTGATAATGCAATCAAAGAGAAAGGTCTTCCTGTTGAAAACGCTTGGAAAATGGAATCAACAGATTTTACGCGTCGCATCTTTGTTTGGCATGTTGCAACCGCAATTGTTTACTATGATGATATTTACAATCATCGAAGAGGTGCATCCGATTCAATCCTCCAGATTGGCAAGTCTTTGTCTGATTACATGATGTATCTGGTATTGGTACGTCCAACAACGCTGCCTAATGGATTCAGTGAGATGGTAAACAAAAAAACTTACTTGCAAAGCCAGAGGATTTCTCCTCAGACAAAAACAGCAAAAAGCTTGAAGGTTTCCATGAAGGAATTTGTTGGGGCACTAATATATTTTCCCTTTGATTCTTCCCATGAATCATCTGAATTTGGGGCACTACTGGAAGGGGCCAAGTTTGCCCAGCAGTTACAGAGTTTGGTGAGAGACAGTAGGTGGGATGATGAGGAGAAGTGGAAAATGATCAGTGAGGTGTGGATGGAAATGATGGTTTATGCTGCTAGTCGTTGCACATGGGAAGAGCATGCGCAGCAATTGAGGCATGGTGGAGAGCTGCTCACTCACGTTTCTCTTCTTATGGCACATCTTGGTTTAAGTACTCAAGTCCACAGACTAGAAAAATCTGCGGATGATATTTTCTAATTTACCTTTTTTTTTTTTTCCTTTTCAAATCATCAATGTAATTCAAGGCAGGAACTCAAAAGTTTGTTCAATCGTATTCGAATTTCAGCATGTAATTCAAAATAAAAGGTTGTAATTAAACTTAAATAACTGTTAAAAAAGGAGCATTTTATTATGGTAGAGTAGAAAAAATTATGTTAGACATATTCAATAAAAATCTGAGAAATAACAATGAAAAGGAAAAACAAACTATATATTCATTTTTTTCAATCTTCTAAATTATTCAAATTCACTTTATGTTGAACAAACCAAATCAAACTTTGTGTAATAACAGAAGATCAACTGGCAATTAAGACCCTGTCATCTCCAATTCCCATCATCACAAGGAGAGCAACCTTCTTTAGCAATGCCAGTGATTTGAGCTCTAGAATCATAAACAACTCCAGTTTTCCAGTCAGCTGGAAGCACACTTTTAGCCCAAATCCACTTGCCATCAAACCCAGATGTTAACACAAATCTAAATTGCAGGGCACCATTTGGAACTCTGCTCGTGTCCCATATTGCCGCATGGTTCCAGCTCTTGAAATTCCAGTTTGAAGAGCCAACCTGGATTCATATATTTGCAATAAACAGAAATAACATCAGTGAATGATTACAAAGCTTAACATATTTAACATTTAATGTTTCAATTAATATATAATTTAATTAAAATTAATATTTCAATCAATATATAATTAAATTAAAAATAAGTTTAAAATATTTAACATTTACTTGAACTAAAATATATTTTAATCAAAATTTAATTTGATAATAATTAAAAATAATTTTAAAAGAAAATATATCCCATTTGGCTAAGAAAATATATATGCTGTAGTTCTGTTCCATGATCCATTGCTTTACTAATAATTTATGTACTTATTACTCTTCTTGGAACACCAATTCACTTGTACTTCGCTTGATTCCCCTCTCAATCGGAAGTTCCTTTTGTCCTTTTTCCATTGTTTTAAGCATTTTACCCTTATTCTCTTTTGTCTTTGGCAAAAATGTTAAGGGGTAATCTAGTCCTAAAACATGATACTGTATACTTCGTGTTCCACATGAAATGGGAAGAAGTGAAGTACTGTTGCAAAAGTGACTAATGAGTGTACTGCTATATTCTAAAAGCAGAAAGAATTCAATTGGAAACATCTTTTTCTCTTCTTCCTCCAAGAATATATAACAAAAATGCTCACGGTTAGGGCCTGAAGGGAAGTTATTTTCTTTGTCTCTGGAACTTTCCTACGGTATTCATGTCTCGTTTAATCCGTTCTCCACCCTATATAGTTACATGCATCGATGGAGCAATGGCTTACTTGATCTTGCAGGGGTTTTTCATACATTCTACAACTTCAATTCCATGAAATTTTCCTCCACTTGCTTTTCCAAAATATATGTTTTGATCAGTCAAATTTTCCCAAGCTCAGCACAGAAAGCTTGTCTACTTGTACTGTTCGGAGTTGGGGGCCAATCGAATTAGACCTGATATTAGTTGATTTTGTTGCAAAGCAAGAGTGATGCTATTTGCAAGTAAGTATTATTATATATCATTCTGATTTCTCTGATAATTGATAGTTAAATAGGATATCAACGGTTAGAGTATGAGTCGATATAGTATTCTCTAATTTTATTTTTGAATTTTTGTATTATATTTATCTTTATATTTATGTTAAACAAATATTTCAAATCTATTTTTATTTTTTTCTTCGAAAATATTTAATAGATATGAATAATCTTTGTATCCATTGTGTTTTAAAAAAAATAAAATCAAAATTTATAGTTTTAGCTTTTTTTATCTTGTATATTTATATAATGTTTTTTATAAATATATATATTAATATATATTTTTAAATATAAATATATTTTATTTTAATTAATCTAAAATAATAATTTATGTTATTTAACAAAAAAAATTATTTACTAAATATAAATAAAGACATATTAAGATACGAGTACAATGTAGATGTTATATTATCTATGCTTATTTTTATATCTAATAAAAATTTAAAATCATATTTATCTTCATTTTTATTCTCATAATATAATATTTATCTTATTTTTATTTTGATAAAAAAGTTAATTTTTAATTAAATATGAGTAAATTTCACATCGCAATACTAAAATTAGTGGAGAGAAGGTGATCAGCTAATTGGTTTTCCTCTCTCTCTCACTCTCTTTGGTTGAATTTTCACTTTTGCATTGATTCATTATTTCCTTTATAAATTTTCTTTGCTCTCCCTCAGGGCGAGCAATAAGGATGTGAATGTAGGAGGATGAATCTGTCATTTCATGGACCATTCTTTTTCCACTTTTGATGGTGCTTTATATATATTTTTGAAGGAAATAATCCAATTAGTTTCTTTTACAAAAGATGTTGTAGCTATGATTAATTCAAATATTGATTTGAACATTCAATTAGAATTAATAAAAAAATAAAATAAAGGAACTTAAATGAATTGTCTCTTTTAGTGCTATCAATTACCTAATTTACAATTGCAACAGTTTGGAGATAATTAACAATATTTAAACTATTATAAAATTTGAGTTAACAAAACATATATATATTTTCTTAAATTTAGTTTGTATATAATGTAGATGTTTGCATAATGTGTTTCTCCTAGACGATTTTTAAGAATGCATAGATATATTTGATTTAGAGTTATTATATTTGATTTTTAAGAATGCATAGATATATTTGATTTAGAGTTATTATTGTTATACCTTTAATTAATTAGGAAATATATCTTGTCAATGATTATATATATATATTTTTTGAATTTCGATTGAGATTTGAACTGAAAACTTTAATTTTGGAATTGACTCTGTTTAATTAAGTTTTTATTTTACCTAAATGCTTTGAGTTGAATTATTATTATTATTATTATTATTATTTTGGGAATTTTCAGTTGCTATCTCTCTACTCTATGTTGAGATCAAGGATTCAGTCTTGAAGAGGATATTATCAGAAATTGCTCAAAATTTTTGGAGTGAATGGGAGCTTCGTTTAATGGTTATTGTGAGCCTTATTCTCCAGTTTCTTCTCGTGTTTTTTGGGAAGAAACGAAAGGAATACACAGGAAGTTGGGTACCATTTTTTGCAATCAGTGCATGGTTAATATATCTCTCAGCAGATTGGATGGCAACCCTAGTGCTGAGTACCCTTCTTAGGGGCAGCATGGAATTGAACAATGAACTCATTGTATTCTGGACGCCCTTTCTTCTATGGCATCTCGGCAACCCATACAATATTACAGCTTACTCCTTCGAAGACAATGAGCTATGGTTGAGACACTTTCTTGGGATGGTCATCCAAATTGCAGAGGCAATATACATCTACGTCAGGTTTCGATCAAACACTATACTGAATGCTATGGCTCTTCCATTATTCATTGCTGGAGTTATCAAGTGTGCAGAAAGGATATGGGCTCTCAGATGTGCAAGCCAAAAACAGCTCATAAAATCCTTTTACTCAAGCCCGATTTCTAAAATTCCAAACGAGAATAATGTTATTGGTAACCTGAAAGAAATGATCCGAACAGGCCTTTTTGATCTTTCAAAGAAGAAGGATTTTATAGGAGATCCAAGCATTCCATCGGAGGTTAAATATCTTCGGGAGGCAGATTTATCATTTCATATTTTCAAACCTCTCTTTTCAGACCTCCCATTTCAGATTTCGCAAGAGTTCCATGATAAAATGGTCTATCTGAGCAATTATACAATTGCTGATGAGGCCTTCAATTTTGTGGGGATTGAACTTGAATTCCTTTATGATTTGCTCTACACCAAGAACCCCATACAATACGGACAACATCTTGCGAGCCTAATTCTTCGCAGCATCTACTTTTTCTTTGTTATTTCTGTACTATTTGCTTTCTCAGCTCTCCTTCATAAAATCAAGCATTCCACAGTTGACACCACCGTGACCTACTTGCTACTGTCAGGGGCTGTTTTACTGGAGATCTATTCATTTTTTATGCACCTTCGGTGTAAGTGGACAATGTTGAGGTATGCAGTTCCTCGAGACAAGTTGCAGAAATTGTACCATCGGCTTGTTGATCACAGGTTACGTTCAATTAGGTCAAGGAAGGGGATTCAAAAAATGGCACAACATGATCTGATAGATTATTGTGTCAAATTCAAGGCAAACCGGTTTAGTCAAGCCTTAAAGTTTATAGACACTGGCAACCTTTTGCAAAAGTTTGGGCATACCGAGTGGAAGCCAGTAGATACTAACTTGAAGGAATTCATTTATTGTCAACTGAAAGAAAAGCGTTTAAGGTACCAGAAGGAGGGTTTTAAACACGAGTATCTGCACAAGTTGTTAGGGGAGAAAGGTGATACTGCAATCAAGGAGAAAGATCTTCCTCTTGAAAATGGGTCTTGGAATATGGAATCAACAGATTTTACCCGTCGCATCTTTGTTTGGCATATTGCAACCGCACTTGTTTACTACGATGATATTGACAGGCATCGAAGAGGTACATCCGATTCATTCCTCCAGATTGGCAAGTCTTTGTCTGATTACATGATGTATCTGGTATTGGTACGTCCAGCAATGCTGCCCAATGGATTCAGTGACATGGTAAACAACGAAACTTACTCTCAAAGCCAGAGGATTTCTCCTCAGACGAAAACGGAAAAAAACTTGAAGGTGTCGGTGAAGAAATTTGTTGCGGCATTAATACATTTGCCCTCTGCGCCTACTGAATCATCTGAAATTGGGGCACTACTGGAAGGGGCCAAGTTTGCCCAGCAATTACAAAGTTTGGTAACAGAACATAGGTGGGATGAGGGGGAGAAGTGGAAATTGATCAGTGAGGTATGGCTGGAAATGATGATTTATGCTGCTAGTCGTTGCACATGGGAAGAGCATGCGCAGCAATTGAGGCATGGTGGAGAGCTGCTCACTCACGTTTCTCTTCTTATGGCACATCTTGGTTTAAGTACCAACGTCCACAGACTAGAAATATCTCCTGATGATATTTTCTAATTTACTTTTTTTTTTTTTTAATTTTGAGCATTTGACCTCCATTATATCCTTCTTTGTTCAATCTTATTCGAATTTCAGCGTGTAATTCAAAATAAAAGCTTGTGATTAAACCTAAATAACTGTTAAAAAAAAGGAATATTTATTATGGTGGAGTAGAAAAAATTATGTTAGACATCTTCAATAACAATCTGAGAAATAACAATGAAAAAGAAAAACAAGCTATATATTCAATTTTTTAATCTTCTAAATTATTCAAATTCACTATATGTTGAACAAACCAAATCAAATTTTGTGTAATAACAAAAGATCAACTGGTAATTAAGATCCTGTCATCTCCAATTCCCATCATCACAAGGAGAGCAACCTTCTTTTGCAATGTCAGTTATTTGAACTCCAGAATCATAAACAACTCCAGTTTTCCAGTCAGCTGGAAGCACACTTTTAGCCCAAATCCACTTGCCATCAAACCCAGATGTTACCACAAATCTAAATTGCAGGGCACCATTTGGAACTCTGCTCGTGTCCCATATTGCCCCATGGTTCCTGCTCATGAAATTCCAGTTTGAAGAGCCAACCTGGAATCATATATTTGCAATAAATAGAAATATCATCAGTGTAATGATTACAAAGCAAATAGTTTTATTCTACACTGAGTTTGAACACTCCTTGAGTTGGACTAACCTGAGCTACATCCATGGCTACTACTTCTGTCTGACCACCCTGGTACAGCAATTTAATTGCCAAGTAATTTGGTTTCTGGCTTGATTCTTCAACTCTAACAGCTAAGTTCTGGTTTTTATATTCGCAAGGTATCCTGTTTCACATAACCAAGAACAATAAGAAATCATCACTATTATAGTAATCAAAATATAATTTAAAGAGAACATTTGGACTTATTTAAAGAAAATAGAAAAAAAAATTGCATAGTAAAATGGAATATAATGAAGATATTGGACCGTTATAGTCATTAATGTGCCTGCCGGTTGCCCCATAACATATTAAGTTGGTCCAAGCAGGGCCTGACCTTTTTGTGTGGTGGTTGTAACAAAAACATCAGATGAGGAAACTTTTAAAAATATCATCATCATTCTTTTTCAATTATTTAATTTGGCAGTATAATAATATGAGTAAATATTTAATTCAGCCCAACCTTTTGTATTCCACGTCGACAATCCCAAGTTTCAAAATGTCTTGGCCCATGCCCTGGTTAGCCATGGCCACGAAAGCTCTGCTGCTAAGAACAAAATCCGTTTGATTATTTTGATTTAGATCAGTTAGTGTCACCCTAGTCCCTTTACTGTTGCAGAGTTTTGAATTCTTGCACCTTATCTGCCAAAATATGTTGAAAATCAAAACTCAAATTTCCAGTATGAGAAACAATAAAAATGTTACAAAAATAACAAAACTAATTGTTGTGGGACAATTATACAAACCTGAAAGCAGGCACCACAACCAGCTCCATCTTTGTAAAGAGAAGAAACACCAGCTGCTAGGTGTCCACCGCTTAAGCCTAATGCCAAGGAGCCATATCCACAAGCTCCAGCTGCAATATCATTCAAAGCCAAAAAACAAATGTTACCCACCAAATTTCTCACAAAAATATGATCGGGGTCTTTGCCAATTTCCTTTATCAAGTAAGAAAACTGCTCTGGGTATTAGTAAAATTGAATTAAGAAACAAAAATGAGATGGAACTTGGCAGCTAATTACATGAAAGTGCAGAGGCTTTGGAGAAATAAGCAGCCTTGGACTGGTGCAGGCAGCGATCACAAGCGGTAGCGGAAGAAACGAGAAGGAATAACAAGCAAAGAAAGAGAGCCATTTGTGTTGAGTTGAGAAATGCAAGTGACAAGTAAAGAAAGACAGTGTTGAGTTTATTTATAGTGTGGCACACAGGAAAACTAGTGTGGACTACAGGTCAGCATTTCCGGAAACCATGGATTGGTTTTTATACTTTAAACCAACCTCTTCGGATTTGAATACTGGTTGCTATGTATTGGAGAAGACTTCATGGTAAGGAAAGAGAGGCATTTGCTCAAACGCGGAGAGACAAAAACAAAAAGTGCAAAAAAAAAAAGGGATTTTTTTTTGTCACCGACTCTTTCCAGACAGCTGTGCCAGTAAGAAATGAGAACATAGAGACTTAATGTAATGTAGTTTTAAATTGGAGTAGCTTTTTTGGGTTTTCTGACAGTGGAATTGATGGACATTGTAAGTGAAAGTTGGGGTGCAAAGTTTTGGCGCTTTTAGGAGAAGCTTCATGTCAATTTCCATTTCCATGTTTTCGCATTTTTGTCTAATAAATTATTAAGAACAACTAATTAAATTACTGTAAAATACCACACATTGGGTTTTTTTTAATATTCTGTACAGGTGGCTTAAACTTGCATAAAATGGGCAATTAAAAAGGGGAACTCTGTGTAGGTAGATTATACAACCCTTGAGTCCTTTTGACATTAGTGAATAAAAAAAAAAAAAAAAAAAAAGAGAGAGAAGAGAAGAATTTTTTTTTTTCGTTAAATTTCTCAACAAGTCCTTTGATGCAATCTGCATTTTCCATTGCTAAATTTCTCAACCATTTTGACACTAAATTAATGACACAAGTCCTAAACTATTGTAACATTTGACCTCCAACAGCTTCTCTTATTTTTTCTTGCAAATAAAACCCAAGATCCAATGGCTATAAATGAAAAGGAGTAGTACAATATTTTTGCACTTTAGTTTTCACCCTCCTCTTCCCTGTTTTCAAAGCTATAAATCCAAGAACCATTCATCCTCCACTCTAGAAATAATGAGTTGGATCCACTGCCTGCCTGTACGTATGCCTTTGGCATCATGGCTTGTGTCAATGGACTCGCAAGTGGACAGTAGACACCACTTACATAGCACACAACATCAATTTAAAGCGCTATCGGATCCAGCTGCCTTAAACTTGATGCTCCATTTGTGTACCTTTTGGCTCAAAGTCAAGCAAAACTGATTCATCTGACAATAATAGCCAGTAGTGCCATAGCCGAAAGTTGTTCTTGTTCCTCCCAAAATCTATTTGGATTTTTGCTTCATATCTCAGCAATCCAACGGGAGAAGGCCTAAGTGACGGTTCTGACAAAAATAGAAATAAAGGGGAAAGCTCAACTCATGAACATGAGATCTGCACCCTATGTTTATAGGGTGAATTCCATTAATTCCTTTTCTAAACGTGAACATTTAGAATTCATTTAGATAGATGTTAAGATTGAAAAAACGATCAAAATAAAATTAATTGTTGAAATAATAAAATTAAAATCTTTTATAGATATATGTGTTTGGATATAAATATAATTATAATTAAAAGAGAAATAATCGTTAAACATATACAATTAGAGTTTATATAAAATAAAAAATTTTAATTATTTAATATTTATAAAATTAATAAATTATTAATAAATTATTTTTATGACAAATAAAAATTTTATTAATAAATAACTAAAAATTAATAAAATAATAATTTATTATATAATAAAATTTATTATTATTATATAATAAATAAGTGGGTGCTTTTAAATTACAGGGAAATTTGTATTTTTTAAGTGTTTAGATAGAGGGGATTTTTGGAATTGACCCATGTTTATACCATTATTATAATCTGATTGATTGACTAATTATAGTGGCGTTTTTCAGTTCACTTCTGGAAAAAGGGAAATAAAAAACAAAGAATACATGAAAAGTCTTAGAACAGCCAACAGACAGTTCATGAGTACATATGCTTAATAAAATAAAAAATCCGTGTTGTAGGAAAATCAAGCTAGGTTGCTGGCATCTTGGGGTCCCATGTGGTGGAAATCGCTGACCAAACAAAATCGGATAGTTGCCTGATCGCAAGATCATTGAAAACCATGAATGGCTATTGCATTATTATCATTACGTTGGTGATGACGTAAAAAAATCGATTTGCAAAAGATGTCAATACCAATATCATCAACGCATCTTCAATACTAAAAATACATACCACCAGACAGAACATAATGCTTGCTGATGGTGCAACGACAACTACAAGTCAAAAAACTAGTATATGATAAATGATTGTAGCCTTGATATATATAAATATATGTTCAATTTGTAACTTTGCTTGAAATTTTTGTTTAAGTAGAGCATATTAGTTCACCAGAACAAATTGCAGATTTACAACATGACACTAAAAAATGAAAAGAACGCAAAAAAAGGGGGGGGGGGTGGTGACTGCCTATGAATGTCAACGATAATGCAGCTATCACTTACCCTAGCATTAACTAAACTATCTTTAATTTAGTTGAAGGAACCCTATTCTTCTATGAAATACTTAGAATTTTGATTATGACATTCATCATTAAAAATAATGTAAGATGACTGTACACTTTTCCTTCCTGCTCACATCATATATAAGGGCATTCATTCTCATCGGCCCCTGCAATATTCACTGTATATATATTTGAAAAAAATGGATTATATATGTTATCCCTAGGCACTTATTCACACAGAATCCTAGCATTGGAGCCTTCAGAATGTACGTTGACAAGGTACAAAAGTTTTTAAGTGTTTCATCTTGCTTTTTCAGATAGAATTGAGACAATATCTTCCCGAGCCTTTTCAAGGGCGCTTGGCAGATTCTCAGGCATCCTCCCACCTGCTTGAGCAAAATTTGGTCTGCCACCACCTCCTCCACCACACAGCTTAGCTATGGGCCCTATAAACTTCCCCGCCTGTATTCCCATATTAACCACTGCTGGACTGAAAGCAGCAACTAAACTAACCTTCCCTTCATCCGGACAGGAGCCCAAGATTACAGCTGCGGGATCTTGCAGTGTATCAATTAAATGCTCAGCGGCAGCTTTTAGTGAATCAGCATCCGCATCATCCACAGACTCAACTAGTACCCTGGAGTGGAATGTTCAAAAGCAAGAACAAAAATCATAATGAGTTCCATTGAATAGAAAAAACTATTTGATATCTTTGAAATGATATTTTTATCATCAATTTTTATCATCAATCTTGAGACGACTTATGAAATATTTTCAGAAGAACAGATACAGTCATAACCAGTAGTAATGACATGTAACTCTCAGGATTTTAAAAAATCATGAACTAATAAAGAGAATAGTTCTTCTGACATTGATTACCAGTATTGCACATTTTCTACTTTCGATCTCCTTGGACTTGAAATAGGAAATATATAAAACTGAATTAGCGAAAAAAAAAATTAAAGAAGAAAGAGAATGCAAATTACCTTATCTTTTGTGAAGTTCCTACTTCAAATGCCTTGTTTGCAATCATTAATGCTTTATATACCGCTGCTTTTGTACGCAAATTAGCAATTTCATTTCTTGACATTCGTAACTCCTCTAAGAGTTTTTCTACCCTGGTCGCCACTTCTTCAGCTTTCACCTACAAAAATGATGCTAAATAACATTAAAATATCTGATAGTGATTAAAGGAAAATGTTTTAAGTACTGGAGAGAAACAAAACAGAAGAATTAACTGCAGCAAAAGCCATAATATCACAGAAGCAGAAATTAATAGAAGATAACATCATTTTGGAGTTCAGGCTGACTCAGGCATTTTCTAATACAATGAAGCTCATGTGATAAGAGGGGAGACAGGAATAGCCAATCCATACCCAAAAGAAAGAGAATTTTTGGGGAGTGGGGCGAGGGGCGAGGGGCCTTGCATTTAGATGGGGTTCTGATACTGACAGACTTAACTAAAAATGGGAACGCTAGAACCATCTGAAAAATATGCCTGTTTATAGCGAGAGAGAATGAAATAGTTATAGTACTTGCAGATAAATATAAATCACATTGGGAAGAGTCTTTTTTGGATGGGCTTTAATTTTTCACAATGAAGCAAGTTGGGAAAAAGGTTTTAGTTATAAGTTATAACAACAAGGGTGGAAAACAGAACTCACCTTGAGCATGGAGCATAGATTCTTCATTTGTGATTCTCTGCCATTGATATATTCGATAAACGCTTCACCAGCAACAGCTTCTATACGCCTGACTCCTGATGCAATCCCTTGCTCAGAGATTATCTTGAAGACACGAATTTCAGAAGTATTGCTGACATGGGTCCCACCACAAAGTTCCATGGATACACCAGGAACTTCCACGACTCTTACCTGCAATGCATTAACAAATTAGGAAGAGCTAATTCTTTTAGCAAGTGTAAAGCCTGATTTGAGTTCCAGTTGGGACATTCATAGTGCCAAAGAGATCGCTAGGATATAGTGGCATGAAATCTTGTCAAAGGATGAAAAGAATATGATTCAAAGTTTAATTTGTTTTCCTAGTTTGTCATTAAATGCTTATTCTTCCTTGACAGAGTCAATTCCAATGCTTACAGAACTGGGAAGACAATTTTCTTATGCTTTTCTCCACAGTATCTTCTACTTGGGAGAAAACTGATCCATGACACGTTCTAAAAATTGCCAGCGCATTGAAGACCACATGCCTGTTTTCATTGAATTAATCGTAAATCATGATCTTTCCATCAGTGATTACAATTCTAAGTTCCAAATAGGATGCATGGAGGCATGATGACCTGACACCCACACTGGAAAATTCGTGTTCATGATCCAATTATAGAGGTTGTCAGATTTGTGGGGTCAGAATGTTCTGATTATTGAAGAAAAAGTGTTAAGGGAAAAGAAAAAAAAAAGCCATGCTAGAATCACTTAAAAGTCCAACTGAATAAGTTATGACTGTCAGAATGTGATGTATGTTCACAGGTTATTTAACAAAAAAGTACAAATAACCCAAACGCAAAGATAAGCTAAAAATGCTTGCATAAAGTTCATTGGTATAATGAAGAATGAATACAGACCTGCTCGCCATATTTTTCCCCAAACATTGCAATGGCACCAGCTTCTTTAGCATCCTTAAGAGGCATCACTTTTGTTTCAAGAAATGTTGCAGCCTCAATCCATCCATTGATCAGTTGCTCAATCTCTTCAAGCTGACTATCAGTAAGGGCATAGCCATAATTGAAATCAAACCTGAGACGATCAAAAGCCACTAAGGAACCAGATTGTGATATTTCCTGGCTAATTAATTTCTTAAGTGCCGCTTGTAACAAATGAGTGGCCGTATGATGAACCTGAAAGAAGAAAAATGCAAAAAAGTTAAGATAGTTTAAATAACGAGGTAGAAGAAATCCAAGGGATACAAAATATGCTTTTCACCTGAATGGGTTGCATCAATAAAAGGAACTTCTGGTTTTAACATGTCAATTAACTTACTGACTGGACATAAAAAATAGAGACAAAATTAAGCATTAAGCTGGTACCTTTGCCCGCTGCCTGAGTTTTACATCCACAGCTGCTTCCACCTCTCTGCCAACTTCCAGAACCCCCTCTCTGATAGTTCCCTTATGAACAAATATGTCACCTAGGGATTTTTGGACATCCTTGATTTCCACAACAGCTGTCTGTTTGTTTTCACCTCTGGTAACATATAGAAAACCATGATCTCCAATTTGACCACCTGATTCAGCATAAAATGGTGTTCTATTCAGCAAAACCTCTACATCATTTCCTTCAGAAACCTGTGTCACTGGACTTCCATTCACCATGACGCTTTCCACTACTGCTTGAGCAGAAAGGGTGTCATATCCTACAAATTCAGTTTCATTTATATTTTCTGTCAGATTAGCACCATCTTCAACAGCAAGTTTAACAACATTATGTGCAGCTCGAGATAGACGCCTTTGGTTTTCCATCTCAAAGTCAAAACCATTCATATCTACAGTAACGCCATGTTCTTCAGCAATTTCTGTAGTTAACTCCACTGGAAATCCAAAAGTGTCGTACAGAAGAAATGCTTCTTTTCCAGATAAGCAGGGCACAGTCCCACTTTTCTGAGCATTTGATAATGCATTTGCTAACATCTTTTCAAGTAACGTTTCTCCTCTCTCTAGAGTTTGCACAAAATGAAGCTCTTCCTTCTTCAGCTCCTCAAGAATACGGGGTGCCTTAATCTTGACATCTGAATCAATATGGGTGCTTAATTCTATTACTTTTTCTGCAATTATTGGTAAAAATGCTTCTTCAAGATTATTTCTTACTTCCCCCTTTATACCGAGGGACCGGCCAGCACGAACGACCCTTCTGATAAGCCGTCGAACCACATAACCTCTACCAATATTTGATGGCAAAACACCATCGGAAATGAGATATGCTATAGCACGCAGATGATCTCCTACAACCTGAAAGAAATAGAAAACTTTAAATAGCGAGCCATATTTATTAAACAAAGTAAGAAACATTATTTTCCAAAACAAGTATCTTAAATGTAATACAGGCTGTTACATCCAAATTAAAAACTGAACCTTTAATTTCAATTTTGTTTGCTCATCTGCCAAGGCATACGAGATATTAGCCAGTTCTGATGCCTTTTCTATGATTGGATAAATCAAGTCAGTCTCATAGTTGTTTGGAACCTGCAAAAAATGGACAACACATGAATACATGATTTTTAATGTTTCAAAAAGAATATGACCTCGCAAACAATGCTGATAAGGTATAGCTATTGTGAAATATTAGTTTTACTTTGACATGAAAAACAAAGATCATAAATACCTTCTGAAGGATGCGAGCCATACGCTCCAAGCCTAGGCCAGTATCTATGTTCTTTTGCTTTAAGGGCTCGAGTTTTCCATCATCCTTTTTATTGTATTGCATGAAAACCAGATTGTAGAACTCTATAAATCTTGTATCATCCCCAAGATCCTGCATATCACTCATCCAGGATAACGAAAAAAAAAAAAAAAAAAAAAAAAGAACTGGAATGTAGAACCTATGAAATAAATGAAAAAATGTCTTAAGTGAGTAAGTACCACATCTGCATGTCCCCTCTCAGGATGGAAATCATAATAAATCTCTGAGCATGGGCCACAGGGACCAGTAGCGCCACTCATCCAAAAGTTATCATCTTCACCCATTCTTTTTATACGTTCAACAGGAACACCCACCTGATGCAAAATTGTTTTGTCAAAATCATTTAAAATAACCATGAAGTAGATAAAAGGAAAACAATCATGAAAAAATTGTTGTCTAAATGCATCCAAAAGAAATGCAGCGTCTAGAAGATCAGACACTATGTAAGAGTCACAATGACCAAACAAAGGAGCTTATTAACATAGAGCACATCTACAAAGAGAACATTGATGAAACCAAAAATCTAACAAGTGCTAAAGCGAAGCCCGGATTACCTCATTGTGCCATATTTCAAAAGCTTCATCATCATCCTCATACACACTTATCCATAATCTCTCAGGTGGCAACCCAAATCTGTAAGCAGAAACAACTTTCATTTTTCCATGGAAGAAAATGATGTGTAACAAGGAATCACCATGCTTGAGAAAAATAATGAATGAATCAATCAATCTTAAATTGGCATCCCAAAAGCAATGCTAAATTCATGCTTACTCAATGGTGGAAAGCTCCCAAGACCATCGGATTGCTTCCTTCTTAAAGTAATCTCCAAAGGAGAAATTTCCTAGCATTTCAAAAAATGTATGATGCCTTGCTGTTCTGCCAACATTCTCCACATCATTTGTGCGTATACACCTTTGTGCAGTAGTAGCACGAGGTACTTGTCTGGGAATCTAAACATAAAGAGCTAGTTTCATCACATCAAGGACTAATAATCAAAATAAACAAGAATAATGTCAATTTACTTTTAACGCATTAATTTAACAATCATCTTTAGCATTTAGCTGGTGTTATTTATTGATGATGATGCCTTTTTAAACACAATCAATGATTATGCTTCAAGCTACAAAAAAATAATTATAAATTGCACATAGAAATTCGAGCTCTTTACAATATTTGAAGCACTGTTTAAAAAATTTTGGGATATTACAAAATAGTGCAATATATACATATAACTGACAATGCTACATAAAAGCAGTGTAATTTAACAAGTATCAGGAATAAGTGAAGACAATTGTCATACTTTTCAATGCTTGAGTAACAGTGCAGTCAATGGATATGCTTTTGAAGTTTATTCCTGTTTGACTAGAAATATTAGCAAATCTCACATTAGATTCATTAAGAGTCTTAGCCATTACCTTCCCAAGGAATATAGGCTTGAAGGGAAGCATTCCTGCAATTGTCAGTAGCACTGTTGGATCATCTGGCACAAGAGAAGCACTAGGAAGAATCTTGTGACCACGGGAAGCATAAAAATCAAGAAACCGCTGGCGAATAGAATCCCCACTGACAAGGGAATCCTTTGACTGATCCTCCTTCAATTCCTCTGTTACAGGCTGTATCGATGCTGAAAATTCACATGATAAGTACTATATCGACTGATAAAGAAAGCTAAAGCATGACTATAACAGTACACAATTAACTAAAGCAACCTGATTTACTTCTTGACTGATTTCCCCTTGCTCCTCTCAAAGAACTATTGCTACACACCAAGATGCCAGAAGAGAAAAGGGCCAAGGATCTTGAAAGAAAGGCTGCATTTACATTAACAAAGATATTTAGGAATTAATGCATAACCCTAAAACATAGCACAATCTCCATGTAATCAATAATGCCTTACTTAGGAAAAAGAAAATCAAGGGAAGATTAAAATTACATATGCAAAAGTAGATTTCAAGAGACCAAGCAAATAAAGTCTCAAAGATTATGTAAATACTTTAAAAATGATTAAAAAATGAGGAAGAAGAGACAATGAGGACCCAATATCAACAGCCACATGATAATACAGAATATAGAGGATTCAAACCGAAAATTTGTGCAATCAAAAAGCCCAAAATACAAAAAGTACAAAAGAAAAAAGAGAAAAATCTCGGTAATGCATCCAATGAACCAATCATTTTCAGAAGTTGAAGGCTATTTTATGGACCAAACCAACCAAAGAAGGAAAACAAGAGGGTTCGAAAGAGTTATCTCTCTCCTGAAACTGAAACCCTTTCCAAAACGAAATCAAGGACCCAGAAACAAACACCTTATGAGCTAGAAAACGTAAAGCTAAGTTGAATTAAATAGCAAGCAATTTCACCATTCAACTAACATTGGTTAGCTTCCAATAAGTAAAACTACAACTTAAAGCTTCATAATTTCCATTAAAAGAAACTAAACTTGGTAATTTGCAAAATTGAAGTAAAGGAGAGAACGCAAGAATTAACTATTTTAACAACTTGGGTCATGGCTAATAAAGTAAAATATAGTTCAAAGCAATGTACTTTCTCAAAAAATTTGTTTGTAGAATTGGAAACTCTAAAAAGAAACAGAATCAAGAAGAAAAGAAGAAAAGAAAGGAGCTTCTTACCAGGTAAAACAGCAAAACTGTAATTAGAAAGGGGTAGGGAAGGTGGTTTTGGGAATAACATGGTGGAGGCAGTAAAAGGGACGAGACGTTGACGTATATGAATGAGGCGTGGAGAGTTAGGCAGTTTCAGGGCTGCCATGGCTCTGTTTTTGCGTTAACTCAACATCCTCTGTTTTTCCGTTTAGCACTGGGCGTTTTAAAACGTTGCTCTAAGCATCGCCGCGTAAAAAAAAAAGGGGTAGATAAGCCTTTTGTAGACGGCCACATATTTTTGTGGTTTAAATAATAAGAAGAAGCTGCCTCTTAGTTCATAGCCTAAAAATAACTAATTTATGAATTTGGTAACCATGACGTGGGTGTTTTTGAGAAAAGGAAAATCAAGATCAACCTGATTCATCGAAATGTTTTAAAAAATATATTAAAATATTTTTAAATATATTTTGCAATTAAAAATAAATAAAAAATCAATTTTCATTTCAATGGAAGTAATCACATGCTGTGGCACATAGATTTACGACACAAGGTAGAGCTACAAGTTATGGAGTTCTTTATATAAATACCCCCAGCAATTCCTTCCCTTAAGCACAAAAAGAAATATTACATGTTCTCTCTTCTATTTCCATTCCATCCATTAGCAACTAAGCAAACAAGCATGGTTAGCACAAAGATTCTGATGGTTAGAAAGTGGCAGAAAATGGCTGCCATTGGGAGGAAGAGAATTACTTCATCGAAGAGGACCGATCATAAGATGGCTGGTGCAAACCGTTCAAGCAAAAGCAGCAGTGGTTGATAAAGGGCATTTTGTTATCTACACAACTGATCAGAAGCGTTTTGTGGTTCCCTTGGCATATCTCAGAAACAGCATTTTTGTCGAGCTCTTGAACATGTCCGAAGAGGAGTTTGGACTGCCAAGTGATGGGCCGATAACATTGCCATGTGATTCAGTTGTCATGAATTACATTGTCTCGCTGCTGCAAAGGGGTTTAGGTACGGATTTGGAGAAAGCTGTAGTCAACTCTGTTGCGAGCTATCGCTGCTCATCAAATACTTCTTTGCATCAAGCACATGCAGACCAACAGTCGCTTGATTGTGGATTCTGAGGAAATCATAGTCTTCGATATTGTAAATGGTTATGTTCAAGAAAAAAAAAAGAAGTTGTAAATGTTGAAAACTGTGATGTATGTGTACCATAATCTTTAGGGTGTGAAATAGTTTGTTTAAGAAATGCAATAGCAAATTTGATGACTAAAAATGATTTGATGCCTGTCCCTTTGCTGCTGTAATACTGGATATCTCTTCACAGATTCAAGCATCAGTGTCTAAAATCTTCATTTTCTTTTACAGATTTCAAACATTCAATTTGGAATTATAACCTCATTTTGCATAGAAAAGCAGGGGAAGTCCAATATTTTGCATGTTGTAGTTCATAGTCCTTGCCCTTGGAATTGAAAAGCATGGCCATTTCTTTTGACCATTTAACCCTGCAACTGCAATTAAGTGGACTTTCTTCTACTGAGAACGTTTCATTAACCTAACCCCTGGCAGGCCTACCACGACTATTGTCATGAAGAGGTAATCATGTCGCTTGAAATCTAAGGGTTTGGTTCCATCAAATTTTGTGATAGTCTATCGTAATTGTTTAGAGAACTCAAATATTTTACTTTTTCATTTTGTAAATTTGCCGTGCCCTTAAGCCACATGACAGAAAAGGGGGATCCACCAAGGCACTAGTTGTACTTGCCTTGGCAGCCAAAATATAAAACTATGTTGATGCAAACATCTATACCAATGGAAGTAATCTCATGCTTTTGCTTAGACATTCACTACAGAAAGATAGCTACAAATTAAGTTGTTTTAGCTCTTTGTCTATAAATATCACTCCTTTTGCTTACTGATCTCAGCACAAAATTACCGTTTCTCACTTCTTGCTCCAAATAATAAATTTACTAGTCTTAAAGCAAGCAACATGATTAGCACAAAGAAGATTATCAGAATGGCAAGAAAGTGGCAGAAGAATGCTGCCATTGGGAGGAAGAGAATTACTTCATCAAGAGCCAGTAACATGATGGCCACCAAGAAACCATCAGGGGTTGATAAAGGCCTCTTTGTTACCTACACAATGGATAAGAGGCGATTTGTAATCCCCTGACGTATCTCAGCAACAGCATCTTCCTTGAACTCTTGAAGATGTCTGAAGAGGAGTTTGGACTGTCAAGCGATGGACCTATATTGTTGCCATGTGATTCAGTGTTCATGAATCACATAGTCTTGCTCATCCAACGAGGTTTAGCTAAGGATTTAGAGAAAGCTGTGCTGAATTCCCTTAATACCTACCGTTGTTCATCATATGGTACTACGTTTTTCCATGAAGAACATGCAGATCAACGGTCACTTGTATGTGGATTCTCAGTAACCTATGTAGTCTTGAATCTTGTAAATGATTCTTGGAAAAGGAGAAAAAGTATCCTGTAAATGCTTGACACAACTGTAGTGGTTATTAAAGATGTTTCTGTGAAGCAACTATTTATGTGAAATGTAAAATTATCACTTTTGATAAGTAAAGTTGATGGCTCTTCCTTTGCTCCACGGTTTCATCAACTGTGCTACAGAATAATGACAAATGCAACTTGTAGAAATATCAGATATCTATATATATTAATGTTATGGATGTCTCCTGATATGCCAGCAATAGCAATTATAACGTTCAACATTTTGTATGATTAAAATTTTTGCGGATTCGCAACTGAAATTGGTAACAATAAAAGTATACTTGCTGCTTAAGTCATGCCAAGAGAAACCTGTTCGGTGCCTCTGGGACAGTTCATCGTTGCACCACAGGGGTACTAATTAATTGACTCTGTACTTCAGTTGAGCTAATGCATCAATGGAGAATATGTGATTTAGTCACATGAAGAGGGAGAAAACGTAACTGACTCTAAAACAGAAGTAGAATCATCTTCTGTTCTTCAATATCAGAGCAAAAGTTCTAACTTTACAGTTTTGTTTACCTTTTTTTTTTTGGTGAATCAACTAAATTTATTCAAGAAAAAAAAAACTCCCAACAACCAAATCTTCTTGCTTCATAATCATTATCTTAATTTTACTAAGGAAATCAAATTAACAAATTCAGAGCCAAACCAGCTAGCAGTAGAAAAAGTAATTGAAATGAAGTGTACTAGCCAAAAAGGAAAATTGGAAAAAAAAAGTCCAACATGAAGAATTGCTGTCTAGACACCATGCTTAGTAACAGTATCCGCAATGTAACCAACTCTAACAGGGACTGGCCAAAACAAGGTCGAAGCAGAGAGCCTTTCAAAGCATTTTTTTTCTTGTTCTGTTGGTCCCACATGTCCTTTGTTGTTTAGTATCTTCATCTAACTAATTACAACCTTACATTGAATATTACACCGCAACAAAGCACAGTCTTTGACCTTGTATTGACTCCCAACTAAGTGATAGAGACAGAACAAATCAAGCTACAAAGAAGAGAAGTTTTCAAAGATTTTCTTTCTTGCTTTAAACCTCCCTGATTCCTCTTGCAACATTTGTTTTTGTGATGAGGCTCTTCTAACTTGTAATGGAAGTGAAATCATATTTTTTTTTTCACATGACCGTCCAAGAATAACAATAAATACATAGATTTTAACCAACATATGGAAACAAAGTTAGTTGTAGCATTGAACGTAGATCCCACTTCTTGTTAACTCCTAAAACATAGTAATCAGTACTAGTACTGTACTTTTACATCGAAATTTTCGATAGTAGGAAACTTCAAGTGAAGGAACTTTTTCATACCTCAATCCTGTATGTACATATAGAGGTGAACTAACAAACTGATTGCTTCAATCCATCGTCAAATAGAAGACAGACATTGATAAGGTAGCAAGTAAAGCCAGAATGATCAGCAGCAAGAAAGTTAACAGAATGGCCAGGAAGTGGCAAGAAATGACTACCATGGATAGGAAAATATTTTCTTTTCCAGTGACGTCTAATGCAAAAGAAACTGCGGGCAGCATTGACAAATCATCGGTAGATGAAAAATGTCATTTTGTTATATACACGACAGATCAGAAGCGCCACATCGTGCCCTTATCGTATCTCAGCAATAACATATTTGTTGAACTGATAAAGCCGTCTGAGGAGGAATTTGGTCTATCAAGTCATGATCGTATAATGTTGCCCTGTGATTCAGCCTTGTTGGGATACATAGTCTTCATTGTCCAACAAGGCTTGGACAAACACTTGGAGCAAGCTCTGCTTAGTTCCATTTCTTCAAGTTGCTACTCCCTCTGTACTTCTTTCCATCAAGGACAAACAGGCCAACAGCCACTTGTTTGCGGATACTGAACAGGTCATAGTTGAATCATGTACATGATTGAAACTATCATAGTGCAATATATAGAATGTGTATCCAATCTAAAATTCTTAAACTATAGTGAAATGCAACGGCAATGATTATAAAACTACCTAGCGTATGCCAAAATAATTTTCATTGTAGAATAGTAACATCACGACATGCAGTAGACCTTTTTGATATCTAAAACGAGTTAATTTCTCGTTAATAGCTGAAAAATACAGATGAAAAAAAAAAAGCTACAGCTCTTTCAACATCTCAGATTTTTCATAGCAATCCAGTAAACTTAAATCTGTATAAAACTTTTACTGAATGTCTCTTGATAATATATTTCCAGCATTAGTGAATGCAATTATTTAAAGGTTCACATGAATGTTATTATGTTCATTCATGGATAGGCAACAGAACTAGATAAAAGAATTATACCTAGTGGAGTTCAAATATGGTTAATCTCCACTAGTTTTCACAGTTTAGCTCTGCATCACTAATTATCAGACTCCCCAGATGCAATTGTTCTAAAATTTGTTGGCTCGACATGATTTTAACTAACTAATCAATGATTTGCACTGATTATGCCACCAAGAAGAAAGCACATGATCTTGA